CTTTCCTGACATTTTTATACTCGCATCTTACAGCAAAATCCATGCTCCACATCGAGCTGACCAAGCATCAGAGGGATAGCATTGTTCAAAGGCATCATTCGGGAAACGGTACAAAAAAATTTCTAAGGCATTAAGTATACAGCATAGAACACACTGTAGACAGTCATAATCAAGTGGAGAAAATATGCCACAACAGTAACATTACCAAGAACTAGACATCCCTCTTAAATTGATGAACAGATAAGATGAAAACTGATCAGGCGGGCTGCCAAGAAGCCAGCATTGAAGGAGCTGCAGGAATTTCTGGCTGTTGAGTACATCTGACTAAAATCTCATATCTCATGTCCATATGTTTGGGTGTTGGAGTAGGGTGGTGAGATGCAAGCCTTATCCTAATATACCATAAGCAAAAATGGTACAACTGTGCTGAAGTACAAAAGTGGTAGAGCAAATCTCCACACTCACTTGGTGAGCCGGCATGTGGCAGCAGGCACTGAGGAACACTAGTGCATCAGGACACCCCGGTTGGGAATCACGACTGTACATAATATTTGTATTTGTCATATTTGGTCAGTCTGGGCTGTGGTACTTTTAGCTAGCTTCCCTGTAATTGAGTGTACAGAGCTCCTCTGCCATGCATCACTCCAATGCATCCAGGAACACCCAAGTAATATTGTAAAATCGATGAAGAGTCCACACTGGTTCTAATCGCTTGACTGACTGCAACTGTCACGCTGTTTGATCCTATGAACAAACAAATTAAACCGCCTGTCCAAATGCCAGAGCCGTCATACAAAAATACTGTATGCCAAATTTATTGTCGTGCCGCAGGTCTTTACAAGTTGCAGGACCTCGGACATCACAATAACTCCAGTGCTATGGTCTGCTGTCTGACCCCAAGCAACAGATGACAGTAATTCACAATGAAACAAATGAATTCTAATGATTGTGAACTAATCACAGCACATTGCTCAAATAGATCTACTACAGATAGTAGTGCTCTAGAACAGGGGTCCCCAACCTTTTTTGCCCCACGGACCAGTTTATGTCAGACAATATTTTCAGGGACCGGCATTTAAGGTGTGGCGGAAATAATACAACAAAATAATATGGTATGAGCTGCATGAAAACTGTGGTGTTTTCGAAATATATTAATAAACACAAGGAGCGTCTAATCTGGCCGCAACACTCTGATCGCTATGGTAATGTTTAATGCCTTCAAAATACGATACAATGCAAATTCAAAGTGCATGAAAATGACGACTCACCACAGCCCCGAGCTTGATTTTCTGCAACCAGACGGTCCCATCTCGGGGTAATAGGAGACAATGACACCTCAAGTGTGTGTTTTATGTCCAGTCGACTTCGTAATTTTGTTTTTTTGTTTTTAGCGTAATCGGTCACGTGACGGAGAAGCGTGGCTTGACGTGTGTCAAGCGTGACATAGACGGATGTAACGGAGAATCCGGTAATTTTTCAAAATAAAACATCTTTCGTCTTCCGAAATAAATAAAACGGAATTAAGGCAAGTTCTTTCTGTGCGGCCCGGTACCAAATGCCCCGCGGACCGGCGGTTGGGGACCCCTGCTCTAGAACAGGGGTGTCAAACTCATTTCACATGGTGGGCCACATATGGCGTCGGTAGATGTCAAGTGGGCCATTAAAATTATACCATACTCTGCTATAAATAACCAAAATAAGATGTCTTTCTTTTTTTTTTAGTCTAAAGAAGCACAAGAACATCAGGAACATGTTGAAATTTAATGAACATGTCTTTTACAAAACATTTCATGAAGCACCTTAGATTTCCTTAGACAAATTTGCAATCTACTTTTATCATTCACATATATATATTGCAACTGATCCCACTGATTGTACAAAGGAACAAAACTTTAACAAGTAATTGGTATTGAAAAATATAGAAATACAAAAATATAGGAAGATTTTAAGTACCGGTAATTGGTATTGAAAAATATAATTATGCACTTTAAGATTAACCCTTTCAGGGACAGCGGTCACTACAGTGGACAGTTTATCAATGTTATCAGGTTACAGGTGATCATTATTGGTGCATTAAAGCGTTAAACAACATTTATAAAGAAAGGAATGTTTAAAACACTTACACTGATGTTGTCTTCTTCTCTGATAGAAACAATGTTGTCTTCTACCCTGATCAAAACAGTGTGTCCTCTAGTGGATACTCTATGAATTGCACCTTATTAAAAATATTCATTCCGTGTCTTTATATGCATTATGCATAATTATCCTGCGGGTTTGATCGAACCTCCTTGCGGGCCGGTACCGGCCCGCGGGCCGTATGTTTGACACCTCTGCTCTAGAATTTCCCTGAGGGTGTGAGCAGTGGTATGCGATGGCATTGGAAGCAAGATTGAGTATCCTGGAGTGAGGAACTCGTGTAATTGTATCGGGGTTAACACTTTACCACTTTGGTTGTACATTTGATGAAGAAATTCATGGGAGACAATTATGAACACTAATTTTGCTAATCTTCTTGCTCTTTAAGGATTTACCGTGTAACAATTTTGCAATCAGTGGGGGGGGGGGGGGGGGGGGGGGAAGAATAATATAATTACATCTAAAATGAAATTAGATTCCGGCGACAGATGATGTGGAGCACAATTTAACATTCAACATGACGGTAGTTAATGACAGTAAAACTTCAGTTTTGATGCAATCAAATTGCAGATGACTCAGGACCATATTTTTAGATCCAGCGCACATCTCGCTCAAAGTGCAGTTTTAATGTGTAAAGTTTTCTTTTGGTAGTGTCGTAGCTAGGCACAGTTAGGGCGTTTGCGCCGTTGTGGGCATTGAAGTCTGTATTCTGCTCATACAGCCGACCTGATTCCTGACGAATCAAAGAGGCTCCTCTCATTCCCTTTAAATTCAGGGCAGGTGAAAATGGAGAAAATGGCGCACATGAAGTGTGTTAATACTGTAAGAAGCTCTCCAGTTGCGGATGATGTAAAGTTGGTCACTGTAAAGTGCGCTATTGGAGACTGCCTTCCACCCCCAACCATGCGACTGTGTGTGAACAACTCTCCTATCCCCCCCCCCACACACACACACACACACAAACACACACCAGTTGTGCCACAGAAAAGGGGTGCTGTGAAAAATTGATTACGGTTGAAAATAACATCCGTCCATTTTCATCACTGCTTATCCTGAACAGCGTTTCAGGATGGTGCTGAGGCTATCCCAGCTGATTTCGGGTGGAAGGCAGACTACATCCCGAACTGGTCACCAGTCAGTCACAGGGCACGTCGTCCCTGAGTGGGAACCGATCCCGCGCTGCCCGCACACAAGTCAACAAGTGTACCACGACGCCACCAGCGACTTTGCTAATAACACTGTATTCAATTTATTGATTTCTACAATCATTCAGCTGCACGCTGATGTCATATTTATGAAATGAAATACAATGACATCCACGACACACATCATCGGAGCACAGAATCTGTCTGCCTGAACCTACATCAAATTAAACACAGCCTATGCCACAACTTGGACCTGGTTTCCCCACGTCTAGTCTACTTTGTGTCATCAAATTTCCTGGTGCGCGGGTGGCATCACAGAAAATGCCCTTGGTCCGCCAGAACGCCCAGCGATGTGAAACAGGGTCTGTCAAATTGCCAAACGCTGTCATATAGACTTGCCCCGGCATGAAAATGAACATGTGCCAGTTTTTACACCGAGCGCACGTGCACCTGTCTGCAAACATAGGGTCCTCAGAGTTACGGTATGTCATCAGATTCAACGAAATATGCGTTTCCATGTCATAATACTCACCCACAGTCACTAGTCACTTGATATTACATATACAATATCTAGTGGTCTTTTTTTAGCCGTGCATGCAGTCTTAAACAACATGGCTTGTAATAAGGAAAGAAGAGACAATATAAAGAGAGGGATGCTGGTGAAAGAGTGAAGGTCATGATTGTTCCTGTTTAAAAGTCTCGTCCCTGGAGAAGGCTAGTTAAGCATCGCCAAAAACTTAGAGAAGTCTGCTTGAGGACATACCTAATCGATTTGGTGGTAAAGTTCACCTGTGTTGTAAATGCATGGATGAAAATGTCCTCTCGTGATATAGCTATCAGATCCCTTGTAAAAAAGGTTATTCTACAAAACATTTGGAGAGGCAACAAACACCTTGCAAGTGAGTGTCCCAAAAAGCAGTTTGAAGAATTGAAATCTAATCCTGTTTGCTAATGCACTATGAGCATCTCCAGACAAATAGGGGCAATATCAATGAGGCCACTGACTCAAGGAGGTTGACTTATTACTGAAATACTGTGATGCTATTGAAAACTGCACCTTTTAGATTATGTGTTGGTGACGCAGTTGTATTTATTTTGGTCACACGATGGTTTAATGTTGCACGTAATATGTTATTGGTTATGATAGAGCTTTTGGGTTCATAGTACATTACCATCTCTCTCTCTCTCTCTCTTGCCAACACTCTTTTTTGGAGTGGACTCTCTCTCTCTCTCTCTCTCTCTCTCTCTCTCTCTCTCTCTCTTTGACATGTACTAAAGCTGAATTTGAGGCGGGCAGATTGACAAGGGAGAGAGTCCAAAAACTAGGTACCACTATGACTAATAAATTGGTTTATAAACTGTACTTCATGTAACACATCAAAGTATATATACAAAGTAGGAGGAAGCTTCCGCTCCTTTGGTTAGACTTTCTCTAGTCTGTGTATGATGGATATTTTGTAGTTATGCTTACAAATGTCTGTGAGGTCAAGGATTTACAGATGCCGGATAAGAGATTTACTTCATTGCAGTTTTTATTTTTATTTTGTGGGAGTGGGATTAGGCTTGTGCACTCCAATATTCCAATACTAATGCTGGAATCCTTAACAAATGTGGCCCAGCTCAACCTATTTTTGCTCAATAGTTAATTAGTAGCTGTCTTTTAGTTTGGTGGTCACTGGATTTTTGCAGCTTGTTACATATAAAGAGTACAAAACTTACCTGAGCCTCTCTTTGATACCACTCTCAGGCAATGGACCACAATTGCATGAAGTAGGACCAGAAAGGGTATGGATGCTTTCATGTTTTTCCCCCAGGTCCTAAAGCAATACGAGAGCAAAAGTTACTTGTTGTACAAAGTACATCAGCAGAGCCAATCATGATTAATGGCTACGGCAAACATAAAGACAGAAAGACAACAATTAGAGTGAACACTTCAATGGCACAAAGCGAGTTGGGCACACACAGAATCGAGGCAGCAAGCAAGTCTTAAATAAAATGAGACCATTTTGAATTTGGGGGTTTCAAGCTCGGCTTTTTTTGAACAGAATAAATGCTCAACTACTTGCTCTAAGAGGGCGCTCCTGTTCTTATTTCAGACAAATGGCAAATATGCTTTACAACGGTTCCACAAAGCTGCATTAGAAAGCCTTTAACAAGAACACTGAAAAGCTACAATAGCCCCTGAGACCTTTGGAGGAATGTGAAACTGGGCAGCAGCTAAAGATGGTGACAGGACTGTTTTCTCCTTTTCAAAAGGCCTTTTGTCATCATGCCCTTGCTAGCTGCAACTAGCCCCACCTCCAAAAAAGCAACATGGCAGAAATATGTTATATTTTCCTTTTAATAAGTTCTGGGTTAGGTTCAAATCTGCAAAATTAGCACTTAAATCTCCGGTCGCTTTCTTTGGACTGAAGATGGGGAAAAAAAAAACACTTAATCACGAGTATTGTCTGGCATTGGTATCATATCAGCATGCACTGTGGACCCAACATGCTTTTGCAAGACATTTCTTTGTTTAGTTAAAACACAACAGAAGCCGACGATGTCCAAGACACCAAAAAAGCAGCCATGTTACTGTATACAGTGTATGATGATACGGAATGAGCAAATTAAGCTTGAGGCATTAAAGGAGACTCAAAGTGTCAGATGTGGAGCGTGCAGAGCCCAGAGCGGTAGGAGAGATGGGTTCCCATTGCCAGGAGAGCGGGCCAGTGTAAGCTGTACAAGGGAAGTCCAACAGCCAGAGGGAAAAGGCTGCCCGAGCTCTGGCAAGACTGTAGCAGACTGAACACACTCATACTGCACCGCATGATCTCCTTTGTGAGCGGCCGGGCATTAATGAATTCAGGATGTTCCGAGAGAATTTGACATTGATTGCAGTCATGAATATGTTGGATTAATCTCCTGCACTGTAGCTTGAAAGAACTTCTAGCAACTACTTGGGAATATTGACATGTCAAAAATTGGAGTACCAAGTGGTTATTGCACCGCATTTCAAAACGAAGGGGTGTCCAGCCCGAGAAATGTGTCAGATGAGTTCACTTGAGGTGTTTAATCAATTCCAAATTTAAAAATTAATCAACTCATAGTGACAAACCAAAAACTTAAGCCTCTCATCTTGCACATGTGGCACTTGGTCACGATAAGAAGTGGTTTTACCTTAGGGCCGCAGCACCTGACCGAAATCTCACAAAGTGTGCATGGTTTGGCATCTATTTGATGAGTGGCCGTCCCGCTCCTACTGGTTTTTAAAATGTGCATCACGGTGGCACAATATGGAAAAAAACATTCTGTCACGATATTGGCCATTTTATATCACGATCACGATAGACCACAATATATATTTTCAGTTGTTTTATAAAAAACTTATACAACACGTTTGTTGTGACTGTATGCTCCTCATTAATGTTTCAGTTGCTGTGCCTGTGGCTCTTTTTTTCTTTGTATCTTTATTCTGTCATCTAGCCTTGATGTCTCACAGTATATCAACTCGGAGTACTCAGTGACACGTTGTCAGTACATCGAGCTTTCTCCCAGTGAGAGTGTCAACTCCCTTCCGTGTCTTCTGCATCCAACCCTGCTCTCTGTAGTTACTGTATTTTCGTAGATAAAACATTTTTACTTTTCAACTTCTGTGTCATGCCCTAATTCCGCTTCTTACCTTTTCTCAATTCATTTTGAAGTGACATTAAACTGGCCTGTATCAAATGAGAAATTTATTCAATAGTGCTGCTACATAGAAGTATCAAATAAAACAGAAGCAGCCTACATATTTTGACACAAATGTAGATATCAAACTAAGAGGCCTAAAAATGTTTCTGACAGATATTGATTAACAAAATGAAATAAAATAAAAAGAGCTTGACTCCAATGTGATTTTCAGAACATTTATTGTGCACATCTCTGAAGCCAAAAAATGTAAACTATTATGAAAACAAATCACGTCTAATATAAGCATTGAATATACTATTCATCCATTTTTTGAATCGCTTATCCTAAATATTAATCCACTTCTAATCTTCTTGGCCACTCCTCCCCGCTGTTGTATGGGACCCGGAACGTTATTCCTGTACTGCTGTGTGTGTAGCATTATTTTTTTTTAATTTTCCCACCAGATACTTATTAATTAAATTGCCTGCTATTTTGCTGTTCAAAGTTGGACTCGCTCTGCTTTAATGCAGTTCCAGCAACACCTCTGTGAAGTCTAACTCCTCCGTCAGCCAAGCAGTTTATTCCGGTCTTTTACGAAGTCATTAGGTTAGCTTTGCAATGAGCATGGCTTCTCTGTCTTTCCCTGTGTTAATTACTCCTTGTACTCCCTTTGTGAGAACGATACCAGGGAGAAGTGCAGTTTATTCACCGCCAAGGAGCATGTGATCATTGTCTTGGGGGAGTCTTAGGAGAGAAACCACAATGTGTTTAGCAGGCAGTACTAGCCAACCAAAGCTCATAGCTAAACTTGCTATTGCTAGCTGAGGTAGCATCTCGTGTGACGGTGTAACGACTAGCCAGCATGCATTGAGGATTTTTTTTCTAAAGTTATTAATAACTACAGTTTTGGTGTTTTTACGTTATTTTTTCCCAAAGTAATAGAATGAATTCACGTACTTTTCATTGAATGTTCATTTTAATTTTGCGCCATATGTTTGTAACATAGGATGAGAATTCGTATTATTCAAATCTCCATATTGATTCTGAGTTGCCCGCCTGGTGACAGTGTGTTGGCATAAGATGGAGTGAAAGCTATTGCCCACCCACTGAAGCTTTCTCTGGCGCATGATAGTAGGAAAGTGACACCACAGAATCTTTCCTACAGTGAAATTTTTCACAACAGTGGACTATTCACGACAGTAAATTTTATCTCAGATGTAAACACACACACACACACACACACACACACACACACACACACACACACACACACACACAAAACGTATATGTGTACTCTTTATTTTTATTCCAATAGTGCATGAGCATACGCGTATTTCCATCCATCCATCCATTTACCGCCGCTTATCCGGGGTCGGGTCACGGGGGCAGCAGCTTTAGTAGGGAAACCCAGACTTCCCTTTCCTCAACCACTTCTTCTAGCGCTTCCCAGCGGATCCCGAGGCGTTCCCAGGCCAGCTGGGTGACATAGTCTCTCCAGCGTGTCTTGGGTCGACCCCGAGGTCTCCTGCCAGTGGGTAATGCCTGGAAAACCTCACCAGGGAGGCGCCCAGGAGGCATCCTAATCAGATGCCCGAGCCACCTCATCTGGTTCCTCTCGATGTGAAGGAGAAGCGGCTCTACTCCGAGCCCCTCTTGGATGACCGAGCTTCTCACCTTATCTCTAAGGGAGAGCCCGGACACCCTGCAGAGAAAACTCATTTCAGCTGCTTGTATCCGGGATCTCGTTCTTTCGGTCACGACCCATAGCTCGTGACCATAGATGAGGGTTAGCACGTAGATCGACCGGTAAATTGAGGGCTTCGCCCTTTGGCTCAGCTCCTTCTTTACCACGACAGACCGATACAAGGTCCGCATCACGGCAGACGCTGCACCAATCCGCCCGTCGATCTCTCGCTCCCTCCTGCCCTTACTCGTGAACAAGACCCCAAGATACTTAAACCCCTCCACTTGGGGCAAGATCTCCTCCCCAACCCGGAGAGGGCACTCCACCTTTTTCCGACTGAGGACCATTGTTTCAGATTTGGAGGTGCTGATCCTCATCTCAACCGCTTCACACCCGACTGCGAAACGCTCCAGTGAGAGTTGGAGAGCCCTGATTGAAGGAGCCAAAAGTACCACATCATCTGCAAAAAGCAGAGATGTAATACTGAGGCCACCAAAACGGAGCCCCTCAACACTTCGGCTGCGCCTAGAAATTATGTCCATAAAGGTTATGAACAGAATTGGCGACAAAGGGCAGCCTTGGCGGAATCCAACTCTCACTGGAAACGATTCCGACTTACTGCCGGCAATGCGAACCAAACTCTGACATCGGTGGTATAGGGACCGAACAGCGCGTATTAGGGGGTTCGGTACCCCATACCCCCGAAGCACCCTCGACAAAACTCCCCGAGGCACACGGTCAAACACCTTCTCCAAGTCCACAAAGCACATGTAGACTGGTTGGGGAGTTCCCACATACCCTCGAAGACCCTGCTGAGGGTGTAGAGCTGGCACTCCAATCATGCCCTTCCAGGTCTCACCGTCATTGCCCACGTGAGCATTGAAGTCCTCCAGCAGAACAAGGGAGTCCCCAGCAGGAGTACTCTCCAGCACACCCTACAAGGACTCCAAAAAGGGTGGGTACGCTCAGCTGCTTTAGGTGCATATGCACAAACAACAGTCAGGACCTGTCCCACCACCCGAAGGCGGAGGGAGGTAACCCACTCGTCTACCGATGTGAACCGCAATGTACAGGCACTGAGCCGGGAGGCAATGAGTATGCCCACACCTGCTCTACGCCTCTCACCGTGGGCAACTCCAGAGTGGAAGAGAGTCCAACCCCTCTCGAGAGGACTGGGACCAGAACCCAGGCTGTGTGTGGAAGCAAGTCCGACTATATCCAGTCAGAACTTCACCTCGCACACCAGCTCGGGCTCCTTCCCTGCAAGAGAGGTGACATTTCACGCCCCAAGAGCTAGCTTCTGTAGCAAAGGATCGGACCGCCAGGGTCCTCGCCTTTCGCTGTTGCCCAGCTCACACTGCACCCGACTCCTTTGGCCCCTCCCATGGGTGGTGAGCCCATGAGAAGGGGGACCCACGTTACCTCTTCGGGCTGAGCCATGGGTGTAGGCCCAGCCACCAGGCGCTCGCCAACGAGCCCCAC